GAATGCAATTGTTACGAAAGTGAAGAAAGCAATTTTTTGAAACTAGTAGTAACCCGATTGCTACAGTAGGTTGATGGTAGTTAAATGGTGACAAGATTTGTCAGTCAAATTTGAACATAGTTATGTGTAGTGAATAAGGAACATGCGGTTAACATGAAATGCTAACTATGCAGTTACCCGATGCGGCTCTTGATTATGAAACAATAATTCCACACTTTCATACTACGTAAGCGGTTGTTGTCAGTAGCAGAGGAGGAACATCAATTATAGTTTCCCTGAAGCAAACTTAAAACACATAAACAGACCACTGCAGACGTTAACTTGGGCATTTCTCACGCCCGAATAAAAAAAAACTGGCCAAAATGTAAAAGGACATCACATGCAGTAAACACAAAGGAACAAAAGAGTTCACTTACTTTAAAATACTACGATAAAAAAGTTAGTATTAGATAAAAGTTAGAATTTTTAATTGTAATAGAGCAGAAGATTGGGACTTAAAAATTCGGAATGTACGTCATTTTTCTTTTCGGTTAGAAAGTGGCATTTTAATTCTCTTTTTTTTCTAAATGTTAAAAGACATCAAGTACGTATGTGTTCAAACTTCTTGTTGTACATATTTATCCCAATTTGTGAAAAGTATTGAATACTTGGGAAATGGAGTTGCTATAAATATATGCAATTAAAAAGTCACCCCGTTGGGAAAAGAAAACTTCCTTCACGGTTATTGTTAAGCGAGCGAAGATTGTATAGTTTTCAAAAAGTAGTAGTGACGTGATTGCAGAGAACTGGTAGTAGTTGATTGATAGTAATGTTAGTGTAAGTCAAATTGGAACTAAACAGATACTTGTTAAGAAAGAACATACAATTAACATACTATGTATGCTAAACATGTTGTTACCCGGTACACCTACTGGCTATGCGACAATATCCGGTACTTACATGCCCACGTAAGTGATTGCCATTTGTAGAGGAAGAAAGTGAATAGTTAAATTGTTCGTGTTGAAGCAAACTCTAAGCACAAAGAAGATGTCAAGTGTCAAAACATAAGTTGGCACAAGTTTCATCAGAATATTGTCGTAAGTTAAACGCATTTGTCGAAAGTACGGCAAATTTGCTTCAATTCGCATTTTGGGGATACGATGTTCTAACAGTTAATTTGACACTCCGAGTGATGTTACGAAATACGAAGTTCGTTAAATTACAAATGACAAATTTAGTTTGTGAACTTCGATTCACGAAGTTTGTATGAACTTTGAACGAAACTGACTGTAACAGAGTAGATTTTTAAAATTATGTCACGTTGTTTCTGTCGCGTTTATTAGAAATATGTCTAATTCAATCAGTTTTTCAAATTTACTTACAAGTAGTAGATACTCTTTAGGAAACATTATCTTTCATGTAATGATTTAAAATTTGTTATACGATCTTGTGTAATTACGACACTTTTACAGTAGTGGCTGACATACTTGACAAAAAGACAGGAATTTTCATTGCACATTTATTTGTACCAAAACTAAGGCACAAATGATGTGTGGGCTCACAGATTAAGCTTTATTTCAATTGGGATTGAGCTAAACTGTTAACCAACATCAATGTTACTCATACATGTGCTAATCACCAGCAGCATAGCATATCAGCAGATATAGTCCTACTGCGTAAATTATAAACATTACGATGCATTATTCATGTCTTTTAATTGTTTTTATAGTTAGTAATTGATAAAACCTTGACAGGTTGACTTTTCCTTAGCATATCATGAAACACAATAACTTTCCTCACCTTATTTCTTGCTTCCTTTTCAATGTGCTGGTTTATTTTCATGGCATCCGACCCTGATGGTACTTGGTGCGATGAAACTGTAATAAATAATACACCATTAAATCTTCCTGATCAATTACAATCACCCAACCAACATACACCTTATAATTGGTTTAACTAATAATCATCAAATATTTGGAGGCATGGGCGCACGGGCAAGCGTTTTTAGGGGGTAGTCGCAACATTTTCGACCTCAAATGACCTAATTTTCCGAATTTTCTAGCAAAAATGCCCGACTGGCTTTGTTTGCCCAATTATTACAATAAGCCCCATTTCACATCCTAACATGGCCTTCATGGAGCTTTCACTCTTGAATAAGAATTCACCTATTTTACAAAGACAGATTAGGATTTAAATTTTATGTATTTTATTGGAGACAAATATTGGAGCTTTAACCCTCAGAATCTAGCTCATTGTTCTTTGTTGTCAAAAAATGACACAAGACACTTTTAGATGTATGGGACATTTTGCATGTTTATACACATTATATATGTATATAAAATATACCAGTAGTATTATATGATGAGATGTATATTTGAAGCACCATAATTCATTTTGATGTAGCTCATGACTGTTTGAATAGAAAGAATCTTAATTCATATTTTTTTGCATATTTTTAATAAGACTAAATTCGTGCATGTTCAATATTTCTGCTTTACATAAGTGCCGTAATTTAGAAAGTACTTGAGATCTTTAAGATAAAACGATTAAAATAACATAAGCAATTAAAATGACAGGGTTGGAAAGAAAGACTTCTGTCACTGCAATTTTTACGAAAGTGAAGTCAATTGCTTTGACTCATGGTGGTTGTATGGTCGAAGGATAATAGTCTATTTGATAATTATTTATTATAAATTTGAAAAAAAGTTATGTCTGGCACCCAATTAAAATTCCGTATTAGCGGAAGACGAACATCAATTGATTTTCTTACCCTGACAACACAACCATGAAAAACAAGAAACATAAAAGTTCCATAGAAGTTATAGGCTGTATTCAAATTATGTACATTTGATGCACAATTTACATTTTATGATAAAATGAACAAACTTGTGATTTTGTAGGAAGAATTTTAATTCTTATCTCTTTCAAGCTAAATGTTAAATGACATCAAGTCTGTGTTCAAAGTTCTTGTTGTACCCCAATTAGAATGTAGGCGTTGGGGAATGAAAACTTCCTTCACCGCTTTTTTAACGACACCAAGGAACGTAGTTTCGAACAGTAATAGTAAGATGATTGCAGTGGACTGTGGTAGTAGTTGCCTGTTTCGTTGTTAGCAATGTTGGTTTATGTCAAATTTGAACCGAGCAATAACATCATGTCATACAATTAACATGCCATGCTATTTATGTTCTTAGCGGATGTGCCACTTCATTATGCAAAATATTTGGCCCTTTTCTGCCTACGCAAGTGATTGTCATTAATAGAGGGGGAAATCAACAGTTGAACTGCTCGAATTGAAGGAAATTCCAAACATAAGTTGTGATAAGTTAACAGTTAATTCATTTTTATATATTACATGAGAAAAAATCATTACTCCGTGCTCGTATCCTATAACCTAAAACATACTCATACACACACTGAGTGCAACATATAATTCGCGCTCTCTTTAATCAATGGCAAAGTTATTTCTCAATCAATGCCTTCAATGACAATGTTTTTGCTAATATATTTCCAATCAAGTTTAGCAATCATTGAAGTGAAAATACTGTTTTCGAATAATTATGAAGTCATGATGTTGAAGCACCACGTAATGAGAGTAAGCGAGCTTTTTAAAAGACCGGCGTGTGACTTAAACTTGTTGGAATTTTGCCTATTTCTCTTAGTTGTCACAAACCTATACTTTTAGGCATCGTGCCTTTTATAAGAAAGATGCATGCGTTTATGAAGAAAAAGTCTTAAATTCATAATACGTATTTCATTGCAGATGCTCAATGAGACCAAAATTAAGAAGGTTCCATGTTTCTTCTCCACATAATTTCCATAATTTGTGAAAGAACTCGAGTTTAGCACGTTATAATTGCCACAAAATTTGGGTGTTGTAAATAGGTCTTTGTAGCTACTATACTGTAGCGAGAGTAAGGAAAGTGGCTTTGAAAAATAGGGTCTTTACTGAAGGAATAAGTGCTGAAATATGTGTGGATAGAGTCACTATCATCCCTGAAGCATTTAAATACTTCTTCAGTGCTATGTTCTTGTACTGTACTTTCAACCTTCTATTCAAATGTGTATCATTATTTTTTTCAGTCTGCCACCAATGTTTTATAAACGTTTGTATGTGTGCAAAGTTAGCGAAGCATTTCGGTAACGAACAGAAGAGATGAAAGAATCTCTGCTCTCTCTACATTTTTCGATGAAACATTGCTACCAGTGAAACGATACATAAAATGGTCTTAAAGTTGGGTGATAATACTGAATGTGGTAGGAACCCTGAATGGGTGATAATACTGAATGTGGTAGGAACCCTTGTGTGGTAGGAAAGAATGTGGTAGGAAAGAATGGGTGATAATACTGAATGTGGTAGGAACCCTTATTTGATCTGTGTAGTTTCTCTGATAGAATTTTATTTTGTATCAGACCAAAAACAAGGCTGAATTGCAAGTCAAGAATACATAGCTACTTGTAAAAGTTTATGACATCATGGCAGAAATAAGTAGTTCGTCAGTGTATTTTTGCCGGCACACAAATCTTCGGAGTTTACATGTTAGGATATTTTGTATTTTCATTCAAATTATGTACATTTGATGCACAATTTACATTTTATGATAATATGAACAAACTTGCGTTTTTGTAAGAAGAATTTTAATTCTTGTTTCTTTCAAGCTAAATGTTAAATGACATCAAGTCTGTGTTCAAAGTTCTTGTTGTACATAATCACCCCAATTAAAATATAGGCGTTGGGTTGGGAATGAAAACTTCCTTCACCGCTTTTTTAACGACACCAAGGAACGTAAGTTTCGAAAAGTAGTAGTAAGATGATTGCAGTGGACTGTGGTAGTAATTGCCTGTTTCGTTGTTAGCAATGTTGGTTTATGTCAAATTTTAACCGAGCAATAACATCATGTCATGCAATTAAAATGCCATGTTATTTTTGTACTTAGCGGATGTGCCACTTCATTATACAATTATATTTTGGCCCTTTTCTGCCTACGCAAGTGATTGTCATTAATAGAGGGGGAAATCAACAGTTGAACTGCTCGTGTTGAAGGAAATTCTAAACACAACAAACATAAACGCCACCGAAGAAAGACGTCAAAATTCACAAGTCTTGTCTGAACAATCAAGAATACTAATAAGGTGCGTTATGCTTCCACCAACGAGTTTTTAGCATTTTTGGCAAACGTGTATGTGGTGGAAAGGTAATCGGTAAATATTTTTCATCATACCGAGTTCTATCCACATCATAAATCTGTATAATATAGATGGAATTGATCATTGAATTCTCAATCACGGCTGTAGATGTCAGCTGATTCCCATGCAAAAATGGCGGTATCGGTCAATTCCTGCTACGATTTAGCGACCAAAATTGACCGCTTTTCAGAAAATAATACAATTTCTCACTCCCCCTTTAAAGAGTAAAGAAGAAAAACGCATTTTGCATTTAGGCATAAGCAATATATATTTGATGTAGGAAAATTACCAAGGAAGATTTGTTAAAACACAGTCAACCAATAATGTTGCTGTGATAAATCGTGCTGTTGCATCGGTATGTCTGCGAAATATGTCCAATAATTCTTCACCAAGTGCGGACCTGATAAGGATATGTTCAGAATAGAAAGCAAGATTAACAAAAGTTGTGTAGTATATCACGCTTATATACTTTTCCAATATTTAGTCGTTATAAGACGTAGAAACGTTTATTTTAGCAGATCTTACAACTAGGCTTTCGCGACATACCAAGTGTAAGGGCTCTTTTCCACTCATCACAAAATGCTCTCGCTGCGAGCTTGCGAGTCTGTTCGCGCGATCAAAAAATTATGTTCAATTCATTTAACTATGCTTCAAGTCATGGTAAGCTCGCTGCGAGTGCATGCGAGTTATCATTCCTGAAGCATTTAAATACTTCTTCAGTGCTATATTCTTGTACTGTACTTTCAACTTTCTACTCAAATGTGTATCATTATTTGTTTTAGTCTGCCGCCATTAGTTTATAGACGTTTGTATGTGTGCATAGTTAGCGAAGCATTTCGGTAACGAACAGAAGAGATGAAAGAATCTCGGCTTACTCTACATTTTTCGATGAAACATTGCTACCAGTGAAACGATACATAAAATGGTCTTAAAGCTGAATGGGTGATAATACTGAATGTGGTAGGAACCCTTATTTGATCTGTGTAGTTTCTCTGATAGAATATTATTTTGTATCAGACCAAAAACAAGGCTGAATTGCAAGTCAAGAATACATAGCTACTTGTACAAGTTTATGACCTCATGCCAGAAATAAGTAGTTCGTCAGTGCAGTCCTTTGCCGGCACACAAATCTTCGGAGTTTACATGTTAGGATATTTTGTATTTTCATTCAAATTATGTACATTTGATGTACAATTTACATTTTATGATAATATGAACAAACTTGCGTTTTGGTAAGAAGAATTTTAATTCTTGTTTCTTTCAAGCTAAATGTTAAATGACATCAAGTCTGTGTTCAAAGTTCTTGTTGCACATAATCACCCCAATTAAAATGTAGGCGTTGGTGAATGAAAACTTCCTTCACCGCTTTTTTAACGACACCAAGGAACGTAAGTTTCGAAAAGTAGTAGTAAGATGATTGCAGTGGACTGTGGTAGTAGTTGCCTGTTTCGTTGTTAGCAATGTTGGTTTATGTCAAATTTTAACCGAGCAATAACATCATGTCATGCAATTAAAATGCCATGTTATTTTTGTACTTAGCGGATGTGCCACTTGATTATGCAAAAATATTTGGCCCTTTTCTTCCTACGCAAGTGATTGTCATTAATAGAGGGGGAAATCAACACTTTAACTGCTCGTGTTGAAGGAACTTCCAAACATAAGTTGGGATAAGTTAACAGTTAGTTCATTTTTATATATTACATGAGAAAAATTCATTACTCCGCGCTCGTATCCTATAACCTAAAACATACTCATACACACTGAGTGCAACATATAATTTGCGCTCTCTTTAATGAATGGCAAAGTTATTCTTAAACAATGCATTCAATGACAATGTTTTTGCTAACATATTTCTAATCAAGCTTAGCAATCATTGAAGTGAAAATACTGTTTTCGAATAATTATGAGGTCATGATGTTGAAGCACCACGTAAGGAGAGTAAGCTAGCTTTTAAAAGACGGGCGTGTGACTTAAACTTATTGGAATTCAGCCTATTTCTCATAGTTTTCACAAGCTTATACTTTTAGGCATCGTGCCTGCGATAAGGGGCTATAAGAAAGATGCATGCGTTTATGAAGAAAAAGTCTTGAATTCATAATACGTATTTCATTGCAGATGCTCAATGAGACCAAATTTAAGAAGATTCCATGTTTCTTCACATAATTTCCATAATTTGTGAAAGAACTTGGGTTTAGCACGTTATAATTGCCAGAAAGTTGGTGTTGCATAAAGGTCTTTGTGGCTAGTATACTGTAGCGAGTAAGGAAAGCGGCTTTGAAAAATAGTTGTAATCTGAATAGAAAAATTAAAGCTAGCAATGGCATCTGGCAAAGAAAGAATATGCAACGAACATGCCATGGTGAATGCGTTGACACTATAAAAGCGTTGGCAGATAGGCACAATACAATCTATAAGTTAGAAAGGCTTTTGAAGCGACATAAAAATTTACTGCAGAAAGCGTAAGCTTTAGAGACAATGTACGTTTTTATTTAGAAATCGTACAGCAATGGAGCGCATATAAATATATGCTGCAGGAAAAAAGTTTATGTTGCCATAATATAGTAACACATACTAGCGATGGTAAAAAAGAGTCATCTTTTAAAACATTATGACATATTGCAGACAAGCATTGTCATTTTTTATATGTGATACTAACCAGAGTAAATGAGAATTAGTTTCTAGTTGGCATTTCTTTTAATTCTACCACATCCCTACATATATTCAAAGAGCTTGTAAAAGTACTCTAGGCTTATACTGATTGCTTTTCACTTTACACTATGTCGAAGAGTTCATGGTCATCATTTGGCTTACAATCTTTTGTGAGTCAAAAAATGAGTTCAGCAAATAAATTCTCAATTTAAGTCTGGTGCTATCCATTTCATCATTAATGAGGTATTTCGGAGCCGCTGCATTGTTATTTTTTGGATCATTATCAAGCTAAAACATAAAGTTATCATGGAATAGTTGATGGATAGATGGAACAAGATAGAGTCTTACTGTACACTTCCCTAACGAAATTTTCACATTTGAATTCATATATGAAATGATGTGAAACTTATGTGAAATCGAAACGCTTCATCTATGAAATGTGTCTATTTCATATATGAAATTTCAATTTCATATATGAAATCAATTGAGAAATTTTCGTAAGTGTTGGCTTGTTGTTACTCTATGACTCCACGAAAATCCACCATTACCATTTCTAGAAAAACATCCTAATACGTCAAAATTATTTCAATAGTGTATAATTGTACCATGAATTGAGCTGCTGGTGTCTTGTCATCATTGGTACATCTCGTAAATTGTGTCACTGCACAATAACACGTTTTATAATGTTCCAAATCGAAAATAACATGTTTCCCAGGAAATGCCTGACGCTTTATGTAATTCTCTCGTGTGACTCTGCATCCAAGTTGCTTTTTCATGCTTCGTTAGGATCATTGAAAAAATATAATCCATTTGCTCACCTTGCTTGTGTTTTTATCCTGAACTTTCAAAGCAAAAATAACCTATACTTGTACGATATCAAAAGCACGAGTGTTTTATTCAGCGCGAGAAAAATTTCCCCTCCAATATTTTCTCCCATTTTTGTTACTTTAAAAACTACCAATTGATAGACGGCATCTAATTTTGTGGATAATAATACACATGAAAAATTTCTCAATTCTAATTGTAAATATTAGTGCAAAAATGTGAAACACAGTGCAAAAAAAAAAGAAATACAGCGCAATTTCTTTTAGAAAATTACGCTCCTGATTGGTCAGTCAAACAAAGATATGATGTAAGAGCCAATTAAATTAAAACATTTCAAAAGCGGGAAAGTTAAATTATTCTAAACAAAGCAATTACAACGGCTGGCATAAGTTTTAAGTAAATTTTATTTAGCGAAGCAGTTTACAGTTCACCGTTTGCAAGATGTTTCTGGATGAAAATAATAACACTGCTAAAAGTAGATACCTTGTTCTAGCTGCGTGTGCGGAAGCTATGGTTGTAAAAAATAATATCCGACGGAATTGAAAAATACGAACAGGTCAATCGATGGTTAAACTCGCCTGCTGAATTAATGTACGTACGCTGAAGTTAAGAGTCAACAGAATTCAGAAATTTTTTCATGTATATTATTAATAAGTAATAGCATGGTTTATTGTGCATTTTTGAAAACAAGCACTCGTGAGTTTTTCAAAGACTTCAAATTGCACGAGAAACCCTGCTCGAGAAACCAAACTCGTCTTTGCGACTCATGCAATTTTGATAGTCTTTTCCCAAATTGCACTCGAAACCATGCTATTACGTATACATATTGGAACTGTCATTTAAAATTTGTTGCATATTATCTAATATTTACTTGACTCCATTGAAAATAAAAAACGACGTTATCTTTAAAGTAAATGGTTTGAATCCGGGAGTATCGTTACATGTTTGTAAATGTAGATCGTCCAGGTTGGTATAATCCTGAGAAGGACTGTTTTTGTTGTTGTTGACTGAAGTTTCGACAACATCAGCGGTAGTCATCTTCAGAGTCAAAGGAGGAGTAAACGTCAGGTTAGCCGTATTTGTTATCTGGTTCTTACGTCATTATATTGTGTGTACAGGAAATGTGTATTGTCATTGTGAATCAACTATTACATCAAACAACAAGAACAAAGACTGAACAAACTGAAGGAACTCATACCAACGACAGTAAGTGATACTTTACTTTCTACGATAAAAACTATTGCAGAGAAACGAGCAAACAAAACAGAAACACAACACCAAATCAAACAACAACAAAAACTTGAACGTTTAAAACGCACTAAAACACGTACAAGACATAAACATGACGATAACTGGGTGAGGAATATTTCTTCCCGCTCATTAGACGAAACTGAAACGCGACTACTATTTTACGGACTAAAACATTCCATAACACCTAGACGAATCCCGACTGAGACGATAGTATCAAGTGTCGAGGCTGTCCTAGCGTATCAAAGAGACTTGTCAGAGACAACCAAAGACGAAATCAGAACCAGATAGCCTCCGCTTTACAATCATCCTCTATACGGGATAACAACTTGACAAAGGATGAACAACAAGCACTCAAAGGACTAAAACACGACAACAACATCGTCATTTTACCAGCAGACAAAGGACGCGTGACTGTGGTCATGGACAAGAATGATTACTTCAAGAAAATGGACACCCTTGTTAACGACAAACAAAAGTACGAACAACTCAAACGAGACCCACCACCATCACTAGTATGCAAACCTAACAGCAAGATCTTCTCTATGAGAAAATCTAACATTATATCTGAACGTATTTACTATCCACTTAGATGCTCAGTACTACGACCACCCAGACTATACGGACTACCAAAACTTCACAAACCACAAATACCCATACGACCAATTGTATCATTCTGTTGTTCGCCTATTTACGAACTCTCAAAGTACTTGACTGACATACTGCAACCACTTACAAGCAAATCAAAACACAAGCTACAATCCACTGAAACTTTCATTAAAAAACTGAGCACTATACAAACACCGGACAACTATATACTAGTGTCTTTTGATGTGAAATCACTGTTCACCAGCATTCTACTTAATCTGGCACTTACTTGTACAAAAACCCTCATTACAAACACCACGGACGTACTGCCATTACCGACTGAAGACATTAAAGAGCTACTGGAGCTCTGCCTCACCTCGACTTACTTCCAGTACAAAGGTACACACTACAAACAATTACATGTAACAGCAATGGGCTCACCCGTTTCTGTTGTAGTTGCTGAAATTGTAATGCAATCTATAGAGGAACGGGCCTCACGACTTACAAACATGCACTACCTTTTTGGTTCCGCTACGTAGATGACACAATCACAGCACTACATGCAGACGAGATTGATGACTTTCACACTTACATCAACAAACAGAACAGCCACATACAATTTACCAAAAATGTCGAAGAAAACGGAACTCTTTCTTTTCTCGACTGTTTGGTAAAACATGACAATCAAAAACTACCAACAACAGTTTATCACTAGCCAACACATACTGACCGACTACTAGACCAATCATCTTACAACCCTACATCACACAAAGCCACCACAATCAGAACATTAACAAGACGTGCAAAAATCATATGTGATTCACCGGACGCTCTACACAACGAAAACAACTATCTCAAATGTGTTTTTGACAAAGACAACTATAACTCTGACTTTATCAAACGCAACACTTACAAACCCAACGAACCCAACGAAACGAACAACTCAGTGACAACAGCAACGATACCTTACATCAAAGGTACGTCTGAGACTATCTCGCGTATCTTACGACCATGCAACATACGTGTCGCACATAAACCAATCACAACGTTACGACAAGTACTAGCGAACATAAAGGACAAAGAAACGAACGACGAGGTGCAGTTTACAAAATAAGCTGCTCCGATTGCCACTCCTCCTATATCGGGGAAACTGGCAGGAACTTAAACATGAGACTTACTGAACACAAACGAGCTACTAAGAAACAAGACAAAATTAATCACATTGCCGACCATCACCGAATCACAAAGCACAACACTGACTGGGACTCGGTAAAATGCATTACTTACAGTACTGACTATAGACAACGGCTTACATTAAAAAGTTGGTACACCAACTTGGAACAAACCCCCCTGAACAAATCACAGCAATTACCGGCACCTTACAAACGACTTATTCACAATACAAACAAACGATCAACTAAAAACATAACACTTCACACTAATTCACAATGACAATACACAATTGATACCCACACATTTCCTGTACACACAATACAATGACGTAAGAACCAGATAACAAATACGGTTAACCTGACGTTTACTCCATATTTGACTCTGAAGATGACTACCGCTAATGTTGTCAAAACGTCAGTCAACAACAACAAAAACAGTCCTTCTCAGGACTATACCAACCTGGACAATCTACATTTAGAAACATGCTGTTATCTTGTCGGGTTTTGTGATGTGAATTGTTTCGTCATCCTTTAAAGCCTTTTTGTAGTCACATAAGTTAGGAGAAAGTTATAGGTCAGATGAATAATACCGTTAGCTTGATAATGTCTTTATTAAGATGGATGTTCATGTGATTCTCAGTGTTGTTGGCAGATATTGATTGAGGTTTAAGTTTAAGGTGGAGAAATACAAATGGGAGAATGTAATCAGGATAGTTCAGTTTGTGTGAAGAAAGCAAAAAATTTAAATCTCATATTTTCTTGAGACGACACTTCATGGTCGGACAAATTTCTGACGTGATCAAACTCCTTGCTTCAGTCCCCAGGGGTGAATGTAAGAATACTGATGTTTATATTGCCATAAATGAATGAAAACTATTACTTAAGAACACTGTTATTTTTGAGGTGTTGAACTAGCACTTTCTCTAGTGCTAAACTGACACCCACCGGTGGTGTTAAATAAAAGGTGTTATTATAACACCAATATTGGTGTTGATTTAACAACATATGACCTTAAACATATTGTAGCGTGTCAAATTTACACCTCAACACTTTAACACCTAATTAATAGTGCTGAAATAGCACCTTGTTCTGCCACAAAGGTGCTAAAGTAACACTGTTTTTTGGTGTTAAGTGGTTGGTGTTAAATTAACACCATTAGCAAGAGTTACAATAATTTATAAAGGGCGTTATTTCTGCACCACTCTCCTTGTAAAATCATGGGTGTCAAAATAACACTTATTTTAACTGTTTTTTTTAACTTATTTTTATACTTATATCAAACTGCAGCTGTTTTCATTCTGACACGGATAACAGAACAGTTGACTTATGCGTTCATTTAAACAGTTTAAAAACTTCGTAAAAAATAGCGGCAATACATATGTTATATTAACCAAAGCTGGATTAAGCATGGATTTTATAGGGGGAACCTTGGCTTTGTGAGTTCTTTAAAACCTAAAAGTAATAAGAAATACCGTTTTGGCACACCTAAATGTAACCGTGTTGACCAGAACATAGATGGGTGAGCACCCCTGTGCACCTGCCCCCCCTCCCCCCCCTATAAATCATTCACTGATAATAAGTACACAGGTTAAACAGTAAATAGAATAATTTATACCAAAGATGATCAGCTTTTTTGAAAGGCCATAATATATACATTACGATAATGCATGAATATGCTGTGTTCAGGAAAGTAAAATTTATTCTAACCCTAACCCTAACCCTAACCCTAGCCCGCAAATGCAAAGAAAAGGGTTTCAGTTCAAAAGTTTGTGAAAAGTTTGGGGCTTTAGAGATTATAATATAGTAGTATTTCTAAGATGTTTTATATATTTAGTTATATATATATACATTTAACTTTACTTGTTTCATATATTGACTTGTTTATAGTATGTTTTATGTTTTGTATATATTTATATGTGTGAATACATGCATATAAATCATTTGATTTTTTTAAATGTATTTAATGCTTAGCATTTTTGTGTCGCGTGTTTAACTGGCCTTACATAAAACAATAAGAAAAGGGGTTACAAAATAACACCGAATTTAAGTGTCATTTTGACACCGGACGCTAAGGGCTAAATTAGCACTTTAACAAGTGCTATAATAACACCAAGATTAGGCGCTATTTTAGCACCAAACTCGGTATTAATTTAACACCAGTAAGAAAATAACACCCGGTGTTATTCTGTACTTTTTAATTTAACACGACTTTTTAGTGTTAAATTAACACCTTAAAATTTACAGTGAAGCAATCGTATCAAACGTGGGAACTTGATTATGAAACCGTTCAACCTAGGGTTAAGTAACAACTGAATGAATCTAACGCCTATGGTAGTATAGGTGCTGTTAACCAACTATGAATCTTCCAACATATTTGCGACAAGTTTGCTAGTCAAGGGCTCGTCCATCAAACCGCTTTTGTTACTCACAACAGTACAATTGACGTTATATTCTTCATTCAGGCGCTAAGCAGGTATCTTTTAAAAATTAGCAAACGCTTTTGTCTCACTCTTCAATTACTATTGTATTCTCATTTCCAAAAACTAAGCGTTTAAAGCAGACGTAGGCGTTGGGATTCAATTTTCGAGTAAAAAATACACGGGGTTTATTGAAATTATGGCTCAAAACGATGTGAAAATGGGGTCAAAGACATCTACTGAATAACAGCTTTTGATAATTTGAGAAGCAATTTCTTACATTACTTAGTAAATTTACAAGTCACAGTCAACTTGCATGTTTTTCAATCTTCTAATTTATGGCAACTTTGATAGACATCACAAAACTTGTTTTTTATCCCTGAGCTAACATGTATTCTGCCATAAAATACGTTCCACAGTATTGTGCAATTCAGGATGGCAAAAAATTACTTTGAACTTGTAACGGCTCCCGTAAAATAAAAATTGTTCGAAAAGAGGATGGGAAAAGAGGGGAGATTGTTGTTATTGAAATAATTTATGACTTTGTCACTTTCACACATACAGGTCTAACGAGAAAATGCATTCGGCAACAAAGAAAATTAATATATTGTCTTTCGATGGTGGAGGAAGTCGAGGTGTAATGGAACTGAAGATACTGGACGACGTTCTACGATTAACAACAATTGTGTTGAAAAATCCTGGAACGGTAGACTACCTTACAAACGAAGACAAAAATGAAAGCAATGTTAATTTCTTAGAAGATGAAAGCGTTCGAAAACGTGTGATCAAGGACATGGAAGCAGTTAAGGATCCCATTCATCCCACAGATGTTTACGATATGATAGTTGGTACCAGTACAGGAAGTTTGATTGCATTTGGTTTAGTTGGTGGAAATAAAGTCGGAGATAAAGATCATGAAAGGAAACGGATGACTGTGGAAGAATGCACTCAGATGTATAAGACTAAAGCTAGGGAAATCTTCCCTTGGCGTGCTAAATTTTTTGGCATTCCAACATCACCATATAGACTAGCTAATGTAGAGGAAGCTCTAAAGGATCAGTTTGGTGATTGCTGCTTATATGATATTGGCGGCAAAGATTCTTCGAAAACCGTGGCCGGAGCTGTTGCTAAAGAACTTGGCAAAAACCAAAATCTCGTCATGTTTGATACATTTAGCAAAGACAACAGGTATTACAAGGCTTACAAGGTCTTGCTTGCATCCTCAAGTGCCCCAATATTCTTTGACAAGCCAACCGAAATTGGCAGTCATAAATATGTCGACGGAGGTATTGGTGGTAATTGTCCTTTAGCACAAGCAATTCCGCGAGCAAAGGAAATTTTTGGGGAAAATGGTGAACACGTGGAAATAACTTCTGTTTTATCCATTGCGCCTCCTTCCAAATTAGAACCTCCTCAAGATAATGACCGTGTAGATTGGGCAAAGTATTTGGTGAATTTATCCACCGATGGAAATGCAGTGTTTAACGAAGTTGTGAAGCAAAATAATCAGACCAAAACTTTGTTCCAAAGGTTGGAGCCACGTGGTGATAGATTGAAATATTTCAAGCTTGATGAAAGGGATACAGACAAGATGATAAAAAAAATGGAAAAAGAAAAGCTTGAGAACGACATGTTTTTGGTTGATGTAGTTGCCTCTGCAATGGTTGTCTTTCTTATGTATATTGAGAAGAAAAAAAATGATAACAAAATTGCGTTGACCATTGCAGCACAACTTGCTGAAGCTGCAGGATGTGCATACCAAAGCAAAAACGAATACGAATCGGCAATCATTTCATACCAAACAAGCAAACGTCTGCAAGAGAAAGTCAGCAGTGACATCACTACGATTAAGAACATTACGTATAGCATCGCAAACTGCTATAAACAACAAGGAGACTTTAGGTCTGCAATAGATTTATTCAAGTCCAACGTGAGAGACCTTTGTCGCCATGGAGATGACAAAAAGAGTAAAGATGTACTCGTTGACACTTTAATTGAAATAGCTGACTGTTACCTGACAACTTCTGATTACATTGATGCAGAAATATATTTGAATGAAATCCCTGAAGAAAGGAAGAAATCTGCACGTTTTCTAACCTATTTAGCAAGGTGTAAGCAGCAAAAAGGAGAAATTGAAGAAGCTGCCGATCTTTACAGGGAGGCAGCTAGTTATACTAAAGACAACGATAGCTATGACAAGGCTAAAATTCTTAGTAACCTAGGGTTGTGTTTCTTAAGTGTAAAAAAGAACGATGAAGCCGAAGTTCTTATTTCCAAAGCCCAAGATATGAGAAAGAGTATAAAAGAAGAAAGAAAACAGGAAAACGATGCACAGGAGGCCGAGTTTTTTTTTAACGACGGGCTTTGCTTGATACAGAAAAAGAAATACAGCGAAGCAATAAAAAAATTAGAAGAAGCTAAAGCCAAATACGATCAAATTGGAGATAAAATCAGCGTTTCATTGACATTGAGAAATTTGGCAATATGCAAATCCAAAACCGAATCCACAGATTCCTTGAATTACGCGCAACAAGCTCTGCAAATGATGAAGAAACATACTTTTCAGAATAATAATCCCGGGAATAATGAAAAAAATCCAGGTATTGCTATAAGCTTGTCAGTTCTTGGTCAGTGCCTTTTCAAGGCTGGAAGATTTAAAGAAGCAAAGATAGAGCTGCTAAAGATTTTGGATGTGATGAAACATCTGTTTTCAGAAAATCATCCAAGACTGATCAAAGTTAATAAGCTCCTGTGCAAATTGGAAAAGAAAAACGGCGAAAAAGAAAAGGCAGAAAATAACGACAAGAAAAAGAACGAACCAAATTGCAAGAGACAAAAAATAATCAAAAGATTACAAAATGCAAGACGTATGCTAGGCTTTTGAAACAAGGCGTTTGAAACGAGTGAAAAATGAAAATATCAGTTTTTACAACCATTTACAAGCACCGGCACTTTAACTAGCATGTTTGTCATCATTCATGAGAAACTTATTACTTTAAGCTGTCAAACTTGTCACTTTTTTAGCAAAATGTTGAGAGCAAATCGACATTATTAGTAATTCCCACCAGCTATATGACATAATTCAATTGACTGTCACATTTTTACAAAATTGACTTTTCAGCGTTCATATAATTCAAATAGCTATCGTTCATTTAAGTATTGTACAATTATTTTGAAGTAGATTTGCCTTTCATGTATGTTTTACTTCTTATTAAACTTTTAAACCTTTATTTTGGGAAGCTGGTTGTGTTCCGCAAAATAAAAAAAACAGGTGATGTCTTTGCCTTTGTTATACAGTAAATGAAAGTAATGCTATAGTTAATTTGTACCGAATCTCAGTAGTTGGTTGGCCTTAATGACCTTTCATCATGTCATCTATGAATGGCCGTACATTGTACTTGTGTGCATCATGCACTTATAACATTGTTTTCTAAAGTATACACTGCTTGAGCCGTGTGTTGCATAATTTGCCATGTAAAACTGCTCGAAGCATATAGATTTTCCCAATGCTTGAAATACAAGACATTCCTAATGGTTAAATTTTACTTTTTAAGACTGATTTTTATAAAACTTTTATAATCTCGGGTTATTTTTTGTGGAGCAATGATTTTGTACATAATATAGTTTACGGCAAATACGAATTTCTTGTATGATTAGTTTACAATATAAATATTAGATCCCAACAAATAATTTTAAACATAGTCATAAACAATTTGGTTTTATGAAATTTATTAAAAGAGTGACGTTTCGTCTTTACTCAAGACATCTTCAGACTAATTAGGAAGTTAACAAGAGTATAGAAATACATAGAGCTATTTACATAGTTTGAGGTATCAGGTTACTGTGAATGTGTAAGTATGATGTGATGTAAGTGTGATGTATTGTTAGGGTGAGGTGTTGAGACTAGAAAAGCTGAAGAGGGATGGAGCTGCCTTGGGTGTTAAGTGAAGGTTTTAGTTTGGAGATGAGGAGGCTTCGTGGATCATGAGGTCAAATGTGTCGGAGCAGGATGAGATGATTTTAAAATCGTCTGGCGAAGCAGGGTGGTTGGAGGAGCTACTATGAGAAAAAATACTTGACATTAATCGGTTAGTATAGCGTTTTCCAGTGAAAGGAGAGATCCACAAGTGTTCCGAGATTCTGGTGTGTAAGTGGCGTGGGGTTTGACCCACATACGACGCGGAACAGCATCGACACGTGTATAAATAAACAACACCATATCTCAGAGACTTGGAAATTTTGTCCTTAACGGGAAAAAATGAAGAGATTCGTTTTGGGGGTACGGAAGACAAATCTGACATTGAGATGAGGGAAAGAAGCGTTGTAGAGACGATTGACTTGTGTACGGATTTGTAACGAGTGACAGCCAGTGAATGGGAGACAGAAATACACTATTTTCTTTGGGACACTAAGGATAGGTGGTTTCTGTTCCAATTTTGTGTCAAGGAAACGACGGACAACGTGGTCAAACATAATAATTGGATAGCAATCGAGTTTGAGTAGTTTTCTGGTGGTTTCAATTTGGGCATGAAAAGTCTCATAACGAGAGCAGAGTTTGAAAAAGCGGTGTAATAGGCCAGAGATTAAGTTGCGTTTGTAAGAAAGTGGGATAAAGCTGTGAAAGTTTGTGAAAAGACCGGTGAATATGGGTTTACGATATACAGAGGTGGTGAATTTGTTGTTTGAGCGGTAAATGTCAATGTATAAAACGGTAGTCGTCCATTATTTTCCGTCTCAGAGGTAAAAGTGATGTTGAGGTGTTGATGACTGTTTCATAGTTAACATGTGACTGTTTACAATTTCGTGTTCCACTCATTGGAAACGCGTGAGAAGAACATGCGATTTTACTAAATATAGTCTTTAGTTGTGTATTAGTCATTTTCACATGTGAAACACATGTTGCTTACACGTGGTATCTTTCATGTTTTTGCATTGCAAAGAATTCTAGACCCCTTGGAATATAGGACGAAAGCTAGAATAAGCATTAAATATCTCATTAAACAGTATCTGAGACTAATATTAAAAAGGCTCCCGCGCTTAATAAATACTAAAGTTCATCTTTAAAGTTTTAGTCTTGTTTCAAACGTCGAACTTTACATGCACCGAATGCATTTAAGACAAAGAAAATGAGATGGATCGAACCTCCTCAATATTTTTTGTTTTAAATGCGTTCGGTTCATATAAAGTTCGACGTTTAAACTAGGTCTTAATTTCTTTTGAGAGTTGAACTGCTCATTTATACTTTGAAATCAATCTCATAGCTCCTCCCCTTTTTACGTAAGTCATATGTTACATTGCACTCAGGCACGCGACCATCAACCTTTTTGTATCATTTTTACAAATATAAGCTTCCTAGTCGTGAAAGTTCAAGGGTTATTGGAGAGTGTGATCTGACATCAACACTACACACGGACAAAATCGCTGGAATTTTATTTGCATTTTAAGGTAAACGTATTTCATGAAAATATTATATATTCTTATTATATAGACAGATGTGTTTCACTGATTATAGATTTTCACTGATTATTGTTTGAATCTCATTTAACTTTCATGTATGTTTCACTTATTGTTAAACTTTTCAAGCTTTTTCCTAGAAGCTGTATGAAAGCGAAATAAAAAAAACCGCGATGACTTTGACTATATTATTGAGTAAATTAAAGTTTAATGCTATAGTGGATTCCCCCTTAGCACATTTTGAAAACATATAAACGGAGGCAAATCTCACTCATGAGTCTTCAATGGTCTTTCTTATGTCGTATGAATGACGAAACATTGCGCATGAGCACAACAAGCACTTATCGAATTCTCTAGCAGAATATGTGTATGGTTAAATTTATACTTTTTAAAAGTAGCTAATTTTCTTTTTTTAAAAATTTCAGTTTTTTTCTGTAGAAAAATAAATTTGTGCATGTTATAATCAATGGCAAGTACGAATTTCTTGTATATCTAGAAAAAAATTTTTTTTGACAAAAATAATATGTGTGCCATTGTTATTTCTATGTTTAATTAATCGTTCTTGTGACATTATATATTAATATGCAGTAATACGCCGTATTCTGTGGATGATTTTCGTTGAGTGTTTTGTTGCCCACCTCCATCGGACACTACTTTTAACGCCATAGATGATTGTGATATATCATAGAAAGTAATTATAACCATTGAAACGCATATATTCAGCAATATAATTATTTTTTACATATACAATTACAAAGGAAAAAATTGCGTCTTTAAATGAATGATTAATAGTATACCTGCAAATCGTCAAACCAAACTTTGAATGAAATCTGAATAAAAGTGTTTTATAAAAGTTGCTATCTAAACACAACAAAATTTTAACAAAAACGTTTGTCAAGTTTGATATAAAAGAACGTTTCGGTGGTTAATTTAGTTAATTTTCCCTATTCTTAGTCTGTAAAACTAAACCAGTCGCTTTTCTGGTAGCTGAATATGGAAACGATCTGGATTTTTGCAGCTGCTCTCATCTTTAATCAAATCATGTTCATTGAATGTTTTGTCGGAAATTCAACATCAAAGGTTGGTGCTTTGAGGTAGCTTTCTAAGGTCATTGTATATTTCAACTTTATTTATGGCAATTTCTGGATTTTGCTTTTGAAAAATTTTATAGATAGTTGGAAAAATAAGAGTTGTATGTCTTTAAATAAGAAATAGGCTTTTAATTTGAAATATAAATTGTATAATCGCACAATATAAATACAAACAACGGACAGCTAAGGTAATGCACATATGCCTTAACATATATCTTATACAAGGAATAAGCAATAGAATTCATTGGCTGTTGTTTTAGTAATCAGAATATGAATTCAATCAAGATGGTAATTTGAAGGGTGAAAAGAAATAGGTGGGGCACAAATATTTTTAATTAAGTGACGCAATACAACATGTTCACTACAAGGACTAGGACACAATAAGAGCTGTCTATTCCTGTAGTAAACGCACAGAAATGTTTTGAGTAACATGGTGTCTTTAAAACATTTAGATTTTAAAAAACTGACCACGCTTTCTATGATATCAGACAACTTCTCCATGATAGATGATTTTGACTTTCATTGAACATCACACCCCGCAATTTCTTTTGTTGTTAATGCCGTAGCTACGTATTTTTCCATTGCCTTGAGGAAGTTATTTCTTTAACAAATAACAGAAACAAATGATCAATTAAACATTCAGTCAATTTTTAAGACAACAAGTTTATAAAAAAATATTCATTTATTTTCCCACGTTTAGGCTTAATGCATTTATACTTTCCATAAAAATAAATTTTGTCTAATACAACATTATTTTATGTTTTATAGTCATTCGTTCGTTATAGCACTTGCTCTTTGTTTTGTTATGTTAGCTTCTTTAGGAAAGATTCCAACAAGCCAATTTAAGTAACCATTTAACTTCACCACTGCTGTTTTTAGGTACATACAGTGAATTGCGGTCCACTAAGTGTCCCGATGGACAAATGTGCTGCTCAGACGTCGGTAGTGACAGTTATGCTTGCTGTTTTCTAAAAGATGGAATCTGCTGTACAAATCTTATTGGGTGTTGTCCTAAAGGATATGTGTGAAAAGGGCGATATTGTCATAAACCTGGTAATGTTATGCAGCTGTTTGAAAAGCAACAAAATGCAATTGAGGTATACATGAACTTTTGATCGACACATCAATAATAATCCTAAAAAATTTGTCGTCGAAACCTTATTACTTATGCCTATGTGCAATGGCAAAAAATGACACTTACATTGGATGTTTAGCGATAATGAATTGTGTGATTAATTCATTACACTTTATAAGAATGATATAGAAAATTTCTCTTTCAAGAAATAATTACAGATCCCATGATATCAGACGTATGAAAATACAAATCAATGGATGACGAACAATGGAAAACAAATTAATCAGATTAAAGTGTAGACAGCTGAATTAGCAAGGAATAGTGTAATGTCTATTGCTAATGTGTAATGGGTTAATTGACTAATTAATTAAAATTAATTAAAGGAGTGATGTGTTTTAACTATTTTACATTTCAGACTTAAAATTTTCATGGCAAAATTAACTTTCTTTTGCCAAGATTAGTTTTAAGAAACTTTTTTGTTCCCCATTAGTAGTTCCATGTTCCTGCAATAATCTTAAAATATTTTGGATCAGGAAAGAAAAGCAGTGAATACTATTTCTTGTTTTTGCTCAAATGTTAAGAAAAAATCTAATGCTAAATATATAATTACGCTGATAGTTTTTCTTGTCGGAGTCATTTCTGCGGGTAGTTCCTAGTGTCTGTTTTCTGGAGACTCCTTTCTTGGGGAGGTTTTCTGCGGGTTATTTCGTCAAGTTGATGCTGTGGTTGGAAACAAATGAAAACGCTAAGTATCTTGCTGGAATAATGGCGGCCGTGGAGACGCAGTGCAAATTTGAGCGACTTATCTGTATAATTATTATTCTGTGCCTTGGCATGAGAACTGTGCGCGAACTGCAATATTGTTCACAGAAGTTTGTGCATTTATTTAAATATTACAAAATTTCGTAAAAAATAGCTGTCGGTA